GCTCCTGTAAACTGTAGGAGCCACTGTATGCAGTTCCACGTTTTAATATAAAGCCCAGAAGATTCTTATTCCTTTGGCTTTGGTCAGTCTTTAAATAATTATAATGCTTCTGTAAGTTCTAGCCAGCCTTGCTGCTAGTTCTGCCAGTGTATTAACTTGTCTATATAGTCACATAATTAGCACCTCATCATTTTATGCCCTTCTGGGACTTCCTCGTTCCCTCCAATCTCACATCCAACATTGCAAAATATCGTCTCCTGAAATCCTGTCCTTGAACTTCGGCGATTTTTCCTGTGTGAAAATCAAATTTTAAAAAGATGAAGAGAAATACTACACAAATCAGTGAGTGCTGAAAACATGGAAAATAGGAAGAAACCCAGAAAACTGAAACTAGTCAGTTGACCCCGATACATCTTTTCAGGCCCTTCTGGCACCTATTTAATTGTTGGAATTCCGATTTGAGCATCTCGGAGTGCCGGGGCTGGGTGCACATTGCCCTCACCACACTCCTTCAACTGGGATGTCTTGCTTCACGAGGACATAATTCCTCTTTGGCTGAGAATTTTGTTGACATTTAATTTCGTTAAAATTCTTGTGGGGGGGGGGTTGGGGACCGGTTGAGAAAGGATTTTTATGATTCACCTAACAGCCTTGATAACCCTGCCTGCATCGTTACTGTTGTAAAACGATTGTTTTGCATGACAAAGAAAAACTACTTTTGAACAAGTCTCTCCGCGGTTAACTAGTTTTAGGATATTCCTCCTGCTGCATAGGACGGAACACCGTTTGGGTTGCACCATTATTTCTTTTTGTTTAGGAAGGGGAATTGGGTTGAAAAGTGTAGCCTCCTGCTGTTCGGTCTCGGTCAAAGTTTTCACCGGTCAAGTTTGAAGCTTGATGAGCGAGAGAAGCCTGGACGCTGCTGATCTACCGGCTCCTTACAGTAGCCATCCGGCAGGTCAGCCATCGCCACATTTGCCACCGGCCTCTTACGAGGGGTGGGGGTGGGGGGTCGCTCCTGAGCCAAAATCGCTGCGGCCACGGGCAGAGCCTACAGCTTCTGGAGAGGAACTCGGTGCTGCAGCCGCTGAGCGGTGGACATCTGGCACCGAGCGGCACGCACCCGGCATCAGGTAAGAGTGGGTCCGGGCGCACTCGAGGGGCCTCTGGAGGGAGGTTGCGGGGACCGTCCGGAAGAGCCCAGCAGCCTTCGGGAGCACGCGATCCCCTGGAGCCCCGGCGGCGTTCACGCTGAGTCTGCAGGGCTGAGGCTCTGCGCCCCGGAGCCGTGGGAAGGCTGGGGAGCCCTTCCGACCGATCCCAGCGCTGACCCGCTGCTTTCTTGTTTGACAAAGGCCAAGAAACCTGCAGACTCTTCCCGGAGCCAAGACGGCTTGGCGGGAAGCCGTCCGCCGGCCCCGGGATGCACCTGTTGCCAGACAACGACCCCCGCCTCGCGCCGCCGCCCTCTCCAGCTGAGAGGGCGCGAGGTGTGGCTGCAGAGAGTTGCCCCGCGCCGTCGCCAGTCGCTGGCGCCCGCTCCTCGCCGGTCTGAGCCCTCTCAAAGGGCCCCGGCCCCCACCGCCAAGGTCACGGTGTGTTTCTGGCTGAGAGTCCTTAGGGCGGCTGCAGCTTGGCCCACGCGGACTCTCTTACTGCCCCTTTCCTCGCCACGAGTGGTCTGAGGTAGATAGTGCTCGCCCCCCTGAACTCCGCGCTTGCTCCTCCTAGGGCCTGATGCTTATCCCGCGGGCTGGGCGAGCGGTGGGTGACCTCCTCAGAGCCCAAAGCTACTCCACGAGGAATCGCGGCTTGGTGGGGGTGCCTGTGCCTTATGGGCCCTAGCGAGTATCAACCCATTTCACTGCGAGCAAAGTTGCGGCTCCTTTACACGCGATCCGTCTTCTCCTTGTTGATCCTAGCAAGGCCATGGGGAAAGGGCTCCTAGGGAGAATCTGGAAGACTTCGTTAAAAGAGTTTGCTTGGCTGGAACCTGGCCCTTGACCACCCCACACCCACGCGGGGCAGCCCTTGGGGAAACAGGCTGCGTGCAGTACCAGGGAGGGAAGCGCACCTAGATGAAGGCGCAGTGCGAACGAGGGCCCTCGGGCTGCACGCAGCTCTTCAGCCACTTTTGGCACTGCCTTGTTATGGGAGCTCAAACCCCTTTAGGAGTAAGGAAGCTCTGGTCAGCGCCAACGGAGATCCCCGGACCCCTTTCGCCCTTAAGCCCTTAAGAGCTGCCCTTACCGAGCGCTGGTCGCAGTCAGCCTTAGTCTCGGAGCAAGAGGGCTGTTGATGCCAGCTCCCTGAATCCCGCCCCCGGTCTTTTCAGCAACGCGAGTGAGCCGTTCAATTTGTATTTCGAAAATGCTCTTTCCCACTCTCTCTTCCCCCTGTCACTTTCTCTACGAATTTGCAGAAATTTTACACCTTACTCCATATTGTCCACTGAGAAAACTGGACTAAAGAAAAGGCAAAACTACCCGCCAGCAGCCTGATTCTTTACTCCTTCATTTACAACCCTCTGCTCTAAGTAGATGTTGCTACTTCCCGAAATAAAAGGGAGGAATAGCATTCTCAGCTGGGGCATGGGAAGACAGAGGTCAATGCCAGCAGTCAGGAGTTGGTTTGGAGGACTTGGGGGAGTGAGGGTGTGTATACAGACCCAAAAGTGAGGAGGCCCTTTCTCCTCTATTAGAGCACTGGGGACCCTGTACCCCATCTGCACATCAGCAGGGAAGCCACAGAGGGCTGAGGTCTGGACCACGCCTCTCCCACCAGCTTACGCCCATCACCTGGGAGGGTGTCCAAATACATGCAGATGTTTTGTGACCCTACTTCTTACTGCAGCCTGGGGAATGTCGATGAGCTAACATGGGTGAGTCTCATGAATTAAGAAGCATTCCCTTTGCTTGGATATTAGGCGTGCAATGGACATTAATCTTTCCACATCCAAAAGACTCTCTGGAACTCTCTATCTTAAGAAACATTCCTTCTACTAGAGGAAGGTGATATAAAGATGAGACTTGTGTCCCATCTTTAAGGATACTAAGCCCCTGGTCTTAATGAAAACCTGTTGGTCATTTCTTGTTTTCCTGTTTGCTCCCTTCCTTTCTTCCATTTCTTTTCTTTCTCTCTCTCTCTCTTTTTTCCTACAGAGAAGACACCCCCATTTCAATGTTGACTCTTCCCATCCCACCAATATTGTCCGTGCTGCTTTAGCACGACTGCCAAGGAGGATCAGTCTTTTTATATTTTTGATTTTTTAAATTGAGGTAATACTGAGATAACCCCACCAGGTTTTTACCATCATAATGCACCCACCGCCGACTCACCCATAATCCACCACCACAGACCATTGTGCTAAGAAAGCAGAGACTTGCAGAACATGCAAACTCTGGGCCATGGGGTACTCCCTCTTCCGTGGACTTCTCGGTTTGTATTAATGCAAAGTGAGGCCTTCTCTTCTCTGCGAGTTCTAATGACTTGCAGGGACTCCACCCTGGAGTCTGGGATCCTATTTGCCAGACATTCTGGGATTGTTTCTGTTTTCCACTTTCTACCCCGATAGGAGCCCCAACCTAGCATCTGTCTGTACTATAAGTCGGTTGTGTTGCGACGCCCAAATTCCTTCAACGGCAGTCCCCGGGGCTTACTCCCTTCAAGGCAATTCTGCCTTTCCTCCCCTCTCGCGCAGCTTAGCTCGTTTCCGTCGACAAAAACACAGCAAAGGGGAAGAAAGATCGGCGATGATCTCCGCACGCCATGCCTCCTCATATCCCCTGAATCTACTTTGCGCTAGACTGCAGTGCCCACGCGCAAGAAGCTCTCCAGATCCTTTGGCAGACAAACGTCACACACGCACACTCTTCATTATTCGACCCTGTGCTCTCGCTTTCCCAGGCCAGTCTGCGTGGGGCAGCCCTGCAGGACCGACGCGCCGGCCAAGCCCCAGGGCGCTAAATTACAGAGGCTTTCTCCTCACGCTCGCCTGCAGGGAGGCCAGAAGGCCGCCCTGAGGCGCCTCGGGCTGAGACGGCAGCACCAACGTTTGCTATCCCTAGGGTCCAGGGGTTTCCGGAAAGCCTGAGCAGGAGCAGTCTCTCCCCAGCTCTTTACACTCTCCAACTGCCTCCCCGCCCCTAAGCGCCTTTACTTCCCCTCCCCTTCTCAAGTTACTCTTCCTGTAACACTAGGACCTTTTCCCTCGGTTCCAGTTCTAAGAAGTGAGAGAACTGGTAAAAACTGAAATGTTTTCACTAACTTGTTTTTTTAAACGAAAGAAAAGACACAGAAAGCAAGAGACCTAAGCCCACAACGGCGTCGGAAGCAAACCTAGCGCCTGATAGGGACATCCGTTGAAACCAGAAGGACCCAATAAATAAAATTAACACAGTGTCAGTGCTTCAGAAAGATTTCTTACGGGGGAGAAAAAATAAACTTCGGACAACGCGCATCAACCCACAGCCCCCTACTCCCACCACAGTGGTCCAAGAGGCCCTCCATCACATCTCTTCATCAGAACGTTCCTTTTTTTTTTTTAACCCACATTCCTAAAATGTGGGAGTAGCTACGAAAAAGAGACTTTCAATTCCACGCTCCAGACCGCGAGGAATCTCTGACAACCGCCTGGATCCCTTTCGGTTCCTTTCTTCGATTCCGTAGGTGTGATTTGGTTAGGGGAATTGCGAAGGGGCTGGCGTAGAGGCTGGTTAAAAAAAAAAAAAAAATCAGGAAGGCGTGAGCTGGAGCGGTGAGTGTGTCAATCAGAGGGTTTTGTGCCTGGGGGCTCCTAGCGGTTCTGAGCAGAGGTGTCCCAGGGCGGCCCCACAATGAATATGAATAGGAATCCTTGCTAAATGGGACAGCAAAGCGCACCGCCCTGAATGATGGCGCGTCATCCTAACCAGCCCAGGATAGATAGGAGGGTTCCTTTTGTCTCTTTTCTCCGCCGCAGCTCTATAAAAGCCCCTCTTTTTCAGCGTGAGGTTAGTTCAAGCACACACCAACTTGCTGTCCAGGAAACAGCTTAACCAGAGAGGGGAGTTGGGGAGGGCGAAAGGCGGGGAAAAGCAGCGTCTCAGATCTTCTCGCGTCTTGCCGCAGAGAAGTGGGTTGCTGGGCTGTTGAGGTTTTTCTAATTCAAGATTTTCTTTAATTTCCCGCCTAAAGCCTCCCCTCTGTAGGGTCGCATCCCCTGTAATAAAATGAATTCTGATTCGAGCTCTGTCTCCAGCAGAGCTTCCTCTCCGGACATGGATGAGATGTATCTGAGGGACCACCACCACCGCCACCACCACCACCAAGAGAGCCGTCTCAACTCGGTCTCGTCCACGCAGGGCGACCTGGTGCAGAAGATGCCCGGGGAAAGTCTCTCGCGGGCCGGTGCCAAGGCCGCGGGCGAGAGCAGCAAGTACAAAATCAAGAAGCAGCTGTCGGAGCAGGACCTACAGCAATTGCGGCTGAAGATCAATGGGCGCGAGCGCAAGCGGATGCACGACCTGAACCTCGCCATGGACGGACTGCGCGAGGTCATGCCCTACGCGCACGGGCCCTCGGTGCGCAAGCTCTCCAAGATCGCCACGCTCCTGCTAGCCAGAAACTACATCCTCATGCTCACCAGCTCCCTGGAGGAGATGAAGAGGCTGGTTGGCGAGATCTACGGGGGCCACCACTCGGCCTTCCACTGCGGGACCGTGGGCCACTCTGCGGGCCACCCAGCGCACGCCGCCAACGCTGTGCACCCGGTACACCCGATCCTGGGCGGCGCGCTCTCCTCCGGCAACGCCTCGTCACCGCTGTCCGCAGCCTCGCTGCCGGCTCTCGGCACTATTCGACCTCCGCACACGCTCCTCAAGGCGCCCTCCACGCCGCCGGCGCTGCAGCTGGGCAGCGGCTTCCAGCACTGGGCCGGGCTGCCCTGCCCCTGCACCATCTGCCAGATGCCGCCGCCGCCGCACCTGTCGGCTCTCTCCACCGCCAACATGGCCCGGCTGTCCGCCGAGTCCAAGGACTTGCTCAAGTGAGCAGCGGGTCCGCCCGGCTGCGGAGAAAGAGGGGAGAGCCGCGGAGGGGCCGCGGTGCCGGGCCGGGAGGGAAGAGCGAGGCTGAGAGCTCCGCCGACGGGAGGGGGGGCGCAGGTCTGCGTGGCCTCCCACACGGTCTGAGAGAGCTCAGATCCCGCTTGACCCCCGGAGGGGAAGGACCAAAACCAAACTGCAATTTCTAGGTGGTAGCGAAGGGGGACTCGAACCAGACGTCGTGTGATTTGCATGCATGCTTCTTTTCCCCGGGCCGCGCCAGTCTATCTCTGCCATATGCTCTTGTCAAAACCGCATTTGTTGTATAAAGACGGGATGGGTGTAGTTGAAAACTTGAGAAGGGACTTTCAAGTCGGCTTTCTCTTGGCTCTGTTTCACCTTGGAAAAGACAACCATCCGTTTTGTGCAAAACAAATGTAAATATTTCCTTGAGATGGATGCAATTAGGATTGTCACTCAACTAACTCTCCACCGTGGTTTTTCTACAGACAAGAGAGAGAGTGAGAGCGAGAAAGGGAGAGACGGAGAGAGAGAGCGAGAGATCCAAGCTTTGGGTTTTGAGTTGTGAATCTCGATTCCGGTGCAGGGCAAGACAGGTCCTCGTGGGTTTTCCTTACCGATGCAGTGTAGGTCAAAGAGTGCATGCACGCTTCTAAATGAATCTTGTCTAAACATGTTGTGGAGGCCGTGATGCCGTTTTCCTTGTAACAAGGATTTATTAGTGAATTCTCCGAAGTACTCCATATATCTGACTGTGGTTGTATGAAATGAAAAAGGGGGCAGAGTGCAAAGACCCATACTCAGCACACTCGCTTTTTCCTCTACCCCACCCCCTTGGAATTCCCTTCCCCAGCTTAGGCTGTTCAGGAGCCAGCAATTGCAAAGCTTGAGCTCCCTCTACTAGCTTGACCCACGCCCCACCCACCCTACCCCTTGCTCAGTGATTCTGCATGCTGGGTCAGCTCTCTCGATCATCAGCTTTGAAAACTTATTGTGGTTTGGGGAGGGGTGCCGTTTTTTATTTTCCTGAACATTTGCTTGAAGTATTTTGTTAGGGCCTCAAAGACAAGACCTGTCTTTATTTTTTATATATTCTTGATAACTATGATATATTTATTAACAACCAGTGTTTCTGGATGAGATTTCAAATAAAAAAGAATCTTTAAATCCTGGCTTTGCCTTTGCCTAAACTTTTTGAACATGAGGGTAGTGGAGACAGAGCATGGATCCAGTAAGGTGTGTCTGGTAGTGGGTGAGCGATGTGGACATGGTGGGCACATGCAAAGAGTTTTCTCTCACTATTTACAGAAAAAGAGGGTGGCTACACTGGCGTGAATGATTACAACTAAATAGCTTTCAAACGGCAGCTTTCCACGTTGGTGGTTTTGTGCTATTTGAGCTCCTTATTTCTCTACAGTAATCACAGCCTCATAAACTCTGCAGTTGAGATTTTTAAAAAGAAACCTGGCAACTCAGCAGGAAATGAGTGGGGGTGCACTGGCTGTGTGGGTAACAGGAGAATGAAGCAGTAATTTCTTTTCAGTTTAAGCTGAATGTGCTGCTCTCTTCTTTTAAGACAAGTTAAAATCCAGTGTATTTTTTAAAAGTCAGCAGAGTGATCTTAGAAAATAGTCAACACACACACACACACACACACACACACACACCTCAGGTAGAAGAGAAGCCCTCCATCACCCTAAGGTGAGCTTGGGCAGATGTCTCAGCCTCTATAGTTTTATAGCAGGAATTCTCTCTTCTTTTCTCCCTTAGAAGGTTGCAGTTTCAGCTTGTTGAACACCCTGGTATCTTTTACATAAATGATGGCCAAAACAGTGGTCCCTTTAGTCAACTGCCTTTCTTTTATCATCCCCTGCATAAACTTCCAAATAGTTTGTAGAAGCAAAAGTAATATAACAAGAAAGTTTTCATTGTTTATAGAAAAGAAGAGCTCAACCCCAACAGCAACCCTCTCTCTTTCTAACTAAAGACAATAGGAACCTGATTGAAATGTGCCACCCTTTGCCTCTGAAGTAGATGTGATATCACCTCCTTGTTGGTGAAGGCCTAAGTCTCTTCAAGAGAGACTGGTGATTTCAACCTGGGGCACCAGAGCTGTCCTTTGCAGGGCCCAGCATATGGGCTGCACACAGAAAAAGCCTGTGCCCCTTCGTCCCCACCCTCACTGCCCCCCCTGGTGGTGTGCCACTCTAGAGGGCAACTCTGCAGCTCCTCTCCCTGTTCTACACATTTTCCATTTTTCTCTCCCCACCCCATCCCTCCAACTACCCCACTGCCCAGTAGACCAAAGAGGGGTCTACAGCAGAGGTTTCTTATTTCCCCTGGTTTTAGGCAGACAAATGGGGGAATAATCGTCTGCTTCCCAAGGGTGATTCATTTCTCTGGGTGAGGAGAGGACTATGGAGGATTTATTTGAAACCAACACTAGGCAGCCCTCCAGCCCTTCCCAGTGAGTTTATTATTTAGAAAGGGGAGGGAAGAGAGGAGTTTCATTAATCAGGAAAATGACTTTCCCCTAGCCACTTGCTTCCTTGGAATCTTATTTCCAAAGGCCTGATTTGGGTGGTGGTGGGGGGGGGGGATTGACTTCGGGGTAGGCTTGTAGAATTCGAGCTTAAATTGGAAAGGAATAAAAACTCATTCCCTAAACCAGGAATTTTAAAGTAGTGCTGCTGGGATACGAATCCCTTGACCACCACCACTGTTCTTGAGTTAAATTCAGAGAAGATTGCACTAAAGGGAATCTCCCACTCCCGGTAGTCTGGCCCAAGCTTTCAGACCAAGCAGAAAAGATGAGGCTTCCAGCCACAAGGACGTCCCCTGCCCAGGCTGAGCTCTCCTCTGGTCATAAAAGTTCTTTTCACTTAGAGACAGAAAGAAAGGTTTTGTTGTTGCTGTATTTTAATGAGAACTGGATAGGAATTCAAGGAAGAAGCAATCTGGGAGCCTAGTTATCACAGATTTTTTGATGTATTGAGAAGAGACCACCGCCACCCAGCTCCAGGGGTAAGAGCCTCCGGCTCTGTGGGTTAATTCATTTGCTACTGCTGGAAGTTTGGACACAATTTTCACTTACATCCCCCCTTTAAATTCTGCATACTGAGACCATAACAGATTACAAAGCTTCAAAAGGGAAAGGGAGTCTGGCTCTTGGTGGGGCTATTTTTCACTGTACATTTGTCACATCTCTGAAGTTCTCAAGTTTAAGACAGTTTTTAATTCAATCTAGAAACATGACCACGATATTTTTCTTCCAGACTAAGCATTGCTTCACATTTAAAAGGATGGCTGCAGGCTTGTGGGCAGCTATACTGTGAGGCACCAGTATAGGTGCCTATTAAGTCAGAGGCAGAAGGAAAGGAAGGGAGAAAGCCACCCGTGGAAAGGGAAAGCCAGCCAGCCTGGCTTCTGCTGACACCTTTGTTTCCAGTGAGCCTCTCCCACTCCTTTGATTTCTAGGACCTTGGGGTTCCCTTCGGGTAAAGAGCGAAGAGAAGCCTCGTGAGGAGGCTCTGGATACCCAAGAATCCCTAGCTCCAGTGTGAGGATGCCTTGTGTCTTTCCTTAAACTATTTTTCCAAGCTGTTAGGTCCAGCAAATTTTTGTCGTTTCTACCTACACACTATGCAGAAATTGCCAAACCCTCCCTTAAGGAAGGAGGTTAATTTTCGGAGCACTTGGCTGGTCAGCAAAGATTTAACTGACTTACATAGAGACTAGAAATTTGGGGCTCCTCTGCCCTCCAGCAGGCTTAAGAGTGGACTCTGCGCACCGGCAGCCGCGGGCTCCTGCCTCTCTACAGCCGGTGAGGTCTGGAGAAGGCCTGACCCGGGCACCGGGAGCCTCCGTGGTACGGAGGACGCTCAGCTGAAGCCCCGTCGTCAGCCTTCAGGATTCTTTAAGGACACAGTGACCAAACAGTTGGTCCCCGCCAGCCAGCGCACCGCTCCCGGGCCCCTTCCGCGCACGCGACCTGGCGCCACCACCCTGCGGGAGCCCGCGGAGGAGAGTGTGAAGAGGGGGGCCCCGGCCAGGCGCGAACGTTGGCCAGGAGGGATTTGCTTGTTCCAGGTTAGCGCGGGCCGGGTCACGTCCCGGTGCCTAGGGCTTAGGAAACCAAGCTGCTGGAGGAGCCGCAGCGCAAGGGTGAAGCGTCTTTGGAAGAAACAGACCTGCGGAGGGGCCCGGGTGGAGCCCGGTGCGCCTGCATCTTGGCGCCAGCCTCTAGACGGACTCGGGCGAGCCCCGCTGCCCCTTCCTTCCCCATCCCTACGACGTTTCTAAGCCTTCTTATCCCCATATTCCTTATAAGTAACCAAGGGGTGTTGCACCCGGAAGGGTAGGGACTGCGGAATATTTTAATGTTATTATTGTTATTATTACTTGTAGTGAGTTTTGGTTCTCAACGTATATCTTTCCCGGGACAACTCTGTTGCAGGGATGCCAGTGCCCAAAGAGGATGGGGCGCTGGCGTGGGGGGGGGGGGGAGGGACGAGCAGATGAGTGTCGGTTATGGCCCTCTGCTTGCTCCCACCCCTCACCTCCTGGACTGAGTCCGTGCCCACCCACTAGGAGAGTGGGCACAAGGTCCCTTCTTCCTCTTGCACAGGCGGTGGGGCGCAGGAAGACAGGTGTCCAACCAGGGTTTCAGACCCCGAGTAGCAGAAACTGGCTTCAAGCCCAGCTGAAGGGTATCCAGATTCAGGCTTTGTCCCTCCAGAAGCCTCGATTGGGCAGTCCAATTCCTAGATGATCCACGGTCAGGCCCTGAGAGTCAGGAGTGGGGTGTAGATGAGAAAAGAAAGGTGCACTGGAGGGACGTCGGGACATGAGCCACAACTTAAACTGTGCAAACAGTTTAAGAACCTGGAAATACTTAGGCATTGATGGAATTTGGGAAGGGCGATAATTACAACAATATCATTACAGTAGCAGACAGATCCACACTGGAACTTGTGGTCACACTCCATCCCCAGCCAGTCCCAGGCTGACTGACACTAAATCGTTTGGAAACTTTGCTTTTTAGATTCCTTCTGAGTCGGGTCGGTCTGCTGTGTGGCCCTGGGGGCCTCCCCTTTCCCAGTAGCCTTTCCTGGCAGGGGACTCGCAAAGGACTGTCCCTGGCGCCAAGCCTCTGCTTCTTACCCAGCCCAGGCCCTGCCTCTGGCTCTGGCAAGGAGGGCAAACTAGATGCCCAAAGCTAGCGCTTAAGAAGTTCAAGGGCTCAGGAAGTGTAGCCCAGTCCAGAGAATGGCAACACCAGTCAGCTGGGCTCACTGGCTACAGGAGAAGGAGGAGTGGTCACCTGAGTATTCCCACATGGAGCCTGCATTTTGCTGCTAAGTTTTGAGTTGGGAGGAAGCCAAGCTGTTCAGTGTCTGGCATCCCAGTAGGAAAGCAAGTGAGTGGGCCAAGACACTAAAGGTCTGAGGCAACTTGGGAAAGCTTCCTTCAGAAATGCTGGGATTGTGTCAGGGTGCAACTTGAGAGAGTACAGGGCCAGAGGAGGCCGGATTCTGGGGGTGTCACAAGCTAAGTGGAAGATGCAGCCTTTCGAGTGCTGCCTCATCTTTCCTGGGCCTAGGAAACTCCAGAAGCCAGATTAAAAAGAAGCCATCCGGATTCTGCCGAGTGCCCCTCAGAACGTATTTCTGTCACAGCCGGGATCACTCCTAGGAAAGCAATATATTTCCAAGGGTTTGGAACAAGCTTATTTGGAGACTTTCTTTTCCTAATTTTCAAACTTTTCTCTTTTCTGAAGACCCAGGAAAAAATTCGGAAGTTCACATCATCCCCTGAACACACAAGTGTGCCCATAAAGTTCAGCCCCAACTATGTAAATCTTGACATTTCTTTCTTTAGTTTCTCATAATTAATCATTCTCCCAATTCAACACTTTCTGAGAGCTCCCGAAGTTCCCGAACTGTGAGGGGAGGGAGATTATGAACAACAAAAAAAGCAAAAGAGATTCAAATGCAGAAGAAATGACCCAGCCCTCCTGTTCCTCACTCCCCAAAAGAAAAACACAGCTCGGCACATTTCTATGGTATTAACTACGCTGACGCTGAGGGCAGAAAACTCAGTGCGCAAAAGTGATTTTTCCAGAGGCTTTTTCAGATGCTGGAAAACTCCTGCTACCAGTTCCTGCT